CTCACACTTTTATCTTAAAATAAGCATATCCTTTCTGGTCTTCTAGATAAAGTCTAACTATCTCAGCCAATTGCCAGCCAAGAAATCTTTAAACCCACCTAGAACCTGTAAGCCCCCGCTTGGAGATATCCCACCTTTTTGGGCCAAACCAATGTATGCCTCTCATGTATTGATTTGTGACTTTGCCTGTAACCCCTGTCTCTCTGAAAATGTATAAAACTAAACTGTAATCCAGCTACAGCAAGTCCACTTGCCGAAGGCCTCTTGGCTGTGGCTCGGGGTCATGGTCCTCAAATTTGGCTCAGAATAAATCTCTTTAAAATTATTTTACAGAGTTTGGCTTTTTTCTGTTGACAAGCTGAAAAGGGCAAGGGAATGGATTCTCCCCTCAGAGCTTCCATAAAGAATCAGCCCTGGCCAGGCACAGTGGCTCATGCATATAATCCTAGCACTCTGGGAGGTCAAGGTGGGTGGATTGCTCAAGGTCAGGAGTTCAAGACCAGCCTGAACAAGAGCGAGACCCCGTCTCTACTATAAATAGAAAGAAATTAATTGGCCAACTTAAAAAAATATATATACATATATATATAAATGAGCCGGGCATGGTGGTGCATGCCTGTAGTCCCAGCTACTTGGGAGGCTGAGGCAGAAGGATCACTTTAGCCCAGGAGTTTGAGGTTGCTGTGAGCTAAGCTAATGCCATGGCACTGTAGCCCAGGCAACAGAAGTGAGACTGTGTCTCAAAAAAAAAAAAAAAAAAAAAATTCAACCCTGCTGAAACCCAGTAAGACCCATTTTGGACTTCTGACCTCCAGAAATGTAAGAGAATAAATTTGCATTATTTTAAGCCACTAAGTCTGTGGCAATTTGTTACAACAGCAAGAGGAAACTAATACAGAAGGGGATAAGATCACCTAGAAAGAGTGTGGATAAAGAAGAGAAAAGGCCTCAAAACAGAGTCCTAGAGCAATAAAAAATCAAAGAGTCAAGTCCAGGAGGATAAGCCAGTGAGGAGTACCAACATCTAGGAGGAAAACTAAAAAAGTGAGGTGTGATGGAAACCAAAGGCAGAGTTTGAGGCAAAGTGGTCAACAGTACTGAATGCTTGTGAGAAGCAGATTAAGATGAGGGTGAAGAAATGGCCACTGTATTTAGCAAGATAGAGGTTGTCTGGCCTTGTCAAGAGCAGTTCCAGTGGACTGTAGATTTAGGAAGTTTCTTTTTTTTTACTTCAGCATATTATGGGGGTACAAATTTTAAGGTTACGTATATTGCCCATGCCCCACCCCAGTAGGAACTTTCTTAAGATTAGTTGGAAAGAGAATGGGAAATGAGGACAGGGAATTGTGCATCCAGACAACTTGTTTGAGTAGTTTCCTAAGAAGAAGAATGGAGAAATGGGGGAGGATTTGCAGCCAGGAGAATTTTGTGTTTATTTTGTTTTTAAAATGGGAGATAGTAGTGCACATTTGTATGCCATAGGGAAAGATCCAACAGAAAAGGAAAAGAATGGTGCAACACAGAGAGTGCATAGCTTCAGGAATCTTTAAGGAGGAAAGAGAGGTTTACTTACTCTGGCCTTCAACAGGAGCAGACTCTTTTTCCACTGTTACAGAAGAAAGGCAGAGATTATGGGTTGATAGATTTGATGACATGAAGATGAGTCAGTTTTTGATTGCTTTTACTTTGAAGAGAGATAAGAGATTTACTAGAGACACATAGTTGTGAATCTAGAGTGAGACCAATCAGCACGTTTGTGCAGTTTTCTCTTGCAGAGTTCAGTGCAGGTATGAAGTAAGTGAAAAGTTGGAGTGGTCAGGATTGGGGGTTTGCCTGCCAAGAATGAGAGAGGGGCAAGGATGCTAAAGGTGTTTGCAAGAGGCTGTTGTGATGATGGACTATGGGAATTAAACAGTGAAAGGAGGGAAGAGAGAACATGAAGGAGATAACCCTGTCTGGTAGTTACTGGGTACTAGGCATTGTTTCTAGCTTATTACATATAATACCATGTAATCTTATGACTACATTGGATAGTGGAAAGTGTTATGTTCAGTGGATCAGAAGTCTTCCAGCAGGCCCAAGAATCACTGGGATGGGAATATTTGAATAAATGAACCTGGAGATCAGGAGACAGACTTGGTTGAATCCAACCTCTGTCACCTGTTATAACTGTATGACAATAGGAAAGGCACTTTGTCTCTCTTTCTATGGCATAAACCAATAGCAATCTTTCTCTTTCTTTTTGTATCCAGTTGTGTTTTCGTTACCAGGGACTAAGGGTCCAAATACAATTATAATTATACAATTATGAGGATACAATGTTGCAGTATGTAGCTCACAGTGAGTGTTCTACAATTACCAGCTCTCATCTCTTTCCTCTTCCAATAATGACCCCCAAAGGCAATAGATGTCTCTTATATCATTCTAGAAGCCTGATCTTGTGCTGGGTACAATACAGATATGCTCTGAGAATATAACAGTTCTCCATCACAGAAAGATTAAAATTCAAGCTCTGCACATCTTCCTTAATGTGCCACCTGCCAATATTTCCAGCCCTGTCTCCTGACCTTCCTTCCCCCTCAAACTTTGTTCTTCAGCTACTAGAAATTCCACTACACATTCTCCAATTTCTAACCTCTCACACATGCTGTTTCCTCTCTTTGCAACTGCAACTCCCAAACTCCAGAAGAGCTCTTCCTGCTCCAGAAAACTTTCCCTGACTTACCACCCAGACACAGGTCAGGGTCTCCTGTTCTCACTGCACTTCCTAGTACCTCCATTATGACAGCTGCCACATTGTATTGTAATTGATGGTTTCCTTGAGTGCCCATCCAAACTGAGGGTGATATAGCAGGTGCCCAGAATGTATCCCTTCCTACCATGAACAAGGTGCATCAGGCCATGGTCCATACTCAGGTCTTGTAATATATTCATCTTCATCTCTCTCTGCTGTAAGCCTCAGTAGGCTGCTCTAGCTGAATTTCTTTCACTTCCCTAACAACCATGCCTGCCTCTAGGCACTTTATTCATCCCCTCTCCCCAGTACTCTTCAAACTCATATAACTAGATTGCTCCTGCTCACACTTCAAGACTCAGTTTAGACTATACCTACTCTGGGCAGCTTTTCCTGCACAACCCTTTCTACCACACGTCAGGTTAGGTACTTTCCTGTGTACCTCAACCTATGTGTCCCTCATCACAATTCTTGCCATCATCACTGCCTTGTCATAGCCTGAGATCCCTGAGAAGTCCACATTCAAATCTGTGTTCCCATTGCCTACCACTGAGTAGTTATGAAATATTTGTTGAGTGAATGATGAGATAAAGATTCTAGCTCTTTAGAATATAGGTCAGAGTCAATGTTGTGGTGATCCCACTCAGGTTCTCATTCCCATAAAGCTTGGGAATAAGCCAGTTGCCACCTCCTTCATAACTATAAGAGGGCGAAAGATGTTACCCTGAGGGAAGGTGCAAGTGCCAGCGGTAGGAGGCCTACTGAACATGAAGGCACTTGAAATGTCATTTGTAAGCCTCACAACAAGCATCCAAAGTAGGTGTCATGCCCCATTAATAGATGGGGCACCTGACTCAGGGCAATAGAATGCCTGTCTTAGGTCCGAAAGCTGGAAAAATACCTGAATCCCCATTTCAAGGTCCTTACAGAATATCTGCGAAGATGAGAGGTGGTGAAGAGTTGCCCTGTGTGCTTTGAGACAAGTTCTCTGCACCGTATCACCTCAGCTGCCAAAAACTTGCTTTAGAAATGCATTTCCACAAAGCCTGCCTCCGCTTCATTGCCCAGCTTGCTTTTTTGACTTCCAGAATCCTGCCAGCACAATCACACCACATAGATCATGACCACTCCTCAGCTGGCTTAGCTCTGGGAAAGCTCAGTGGGGGTTATCATATAATGACCAACCCCACATGCCAGGCCTTGTGTCACGGTAACGTTGTCCAGTGTCTCTGGAGCAAACTAAAAAGGCTGGATCGCTGGAGAAGGGAAAGAAGCAGGACTAGGAGCAGGCAGGACCTAAGTTCAAGTCTTGCGGGGGTGTGGGTGTTTAGCCCTAACTTGGTCCTTAAGTAACTTTGTGCTAGTAATTTAGCCATCTAAGAAAATGAAGGGATTGATGCTACAGATGATCTCTAAAGTCCCTCAAAGGTGCCTGTATGAGATTCTCTTCTTTCCCCATCCCTGACACGCCACTATTCAGCGCAGCAGCTTGACCCAGGGAGTGGCGACGTACTGCTCAGCCTAGGGCTGTTCCTCAGTTCCCCGCTTTCGCGGCCAGTTCGGCCCCTGACTCAGCCCCTGGCCAGGGAGGCCACTGAGCTCCCCAGGCCCGGAGCACAGAAAAGTGGACGATAGGTCATTCCAGGACAACGGGGCTGAGGCGCCACGAAACTACAACTCCCAGGAGGCCACTGGGTGCTACTGGCGGCTAGGCGCGATGCATCTTGGGAGCAGTAACTGCCTCCCCGCCGCGCTTCATTGTTAAGATCGCTAAGTCAGGTAGCTCGCGCGCATGCCCAGCCATGTCTCAGCTAGCTGCATTTCTTTCCTTTCTGCGGGCCTCTTCTCTTTCCGGTCGTGCTGGGGCGCTGTTTTCCCCGCCCCACCTCCGCCCCCTTGTCAGGGAATTTGGAGGGGGCGGGGCTTCTGGCAAGCGCGTTCCCAGGGGTGTGTACCCGCGCGTTCACGGGAGATTAAAGGGGGAGGAGCCTGAACACTGCATGTGGATGGTAGAGAAGGTGGAAGACCGTGGGCAACGGAAAGCGCATGCGTCCTAGCGGTTCCGTCTGGCTTCAGGCGTTGCAGAGGAGCTGGTGGGCTGACGCACGCGCATTGAGCCACCAGCGCCCCGCCTCCCGCTTCAAGTTTCCCCTCCTCTTTCACCACCCTCCCGGAAGTGGAGCCGCCCTCGCGCCCACCAGCGGCCACCCCCTGCGGCAGGCCCCGCCCACAAAGGCTCCGCCCCCCGGGCTCTCCGCCCCCTGCTCTGGTAGTGGCGCCGGGTTGCAGCCCGGGTCGTGGCGGTTCTGGTGGCCGAAGCCGGGAGCGCAGAGTCGTTCCCGAGAGAGGCGGCCAGGCTATGATCGCCGGTTGCCGGCGTCCCGGTCCCGCCAGCCAGAGTCTCTGCCTCAACCTGTGCCCGTGCCCAAGCGGTCTCCTCAGCCCGGCCCCGCGGCGCGGCTGGCGGCGGCGCCCCCGGCGCGCCCCCTCCCCCGATGGCGGCGGAGATCCAACCCAAGCCTCTGACCCGCAAGCCGATCCTGCTGCAGCGGGTCGAGGGGTCCCAGGAGGTGGTGAATATGGCCGTAATCGTGCCCAAGGAGGAGGGCGTCATCAGCGTCTCGGAGGACAGGTATGGACTGCCGCCCCTCGGCCGCGAGGAGGGGCGGGACGGGCTGGCGGTCCCCGAGTCCGCGTCACGGGCTGTGCCTCCACGTCGGCGCGAGTGTAGACGTGCTCCCCTAAGTTTTATTGCGACGCGCACCCCGGCGGTGCGGGTGTCCAGCTGCGCGCTGTCGCCGCGGCGTGGCCGGGGAAGCGGAGCCGGGACGGCGGTGTGCGCTCTGGCCTCGCCCGGGGCTGGGTGGCGGCTGCGGGAGCCCGGTGGCCCTCAGGCTAACGGTGCGCCCCACTCCGGACCTTGGTTCATCCCTGAGGTCGGGAGGAAAGAGGGGGGCGCCGCCTGGTCCTTCAGGTGTGTGCTTGGGGAAGATGCTCTGAGACGCCTCTGCAAGATAACTGAGGGCTTCGGGTACTCTCTGGTACGGTTCTTGGGGTTCCAAACTGAGAGCGCAAATGCCACTCCCTTTTCCCAGACGTTCCAACCGAATCCAGATATCCCAGACATTTTACAATGAATTCATTGAATACTCCCAAGTTGTGAAAAGAATAACTTTAGGCTTCTGCGTACTGTCTTCTTTCCTTTCCCCTCTTTTTCTTATCTCTTTGAGCTCTAGGGGAAGCGCCTAGAACTTGCAACGGATCACTGCTGCAAATAGCTCTTGAGTTCCTTCCCTTTGCCTGCTTCCTTTATTTTCGTGTAATTTTGCTTAATTTGCAGAAGTGAAGCTAGTTGTTCTGCCTTCAGTATTCTTCCTTATTTTTGCGTTTTTGCTTTTAACTTAAAGGGCCTTTAATATGCAGAAATGAGACTGGAGAAGCTAATTAGTAGAGAAATGTTGCTTGAATGTAGTACTTATGGTCATTTATCAGGAATTGTTACTTTGATATCTATAAGCATTCTAAAAAATGTAACACTGTAGAAGTACATGACAAGGAGCTTTTATAGTAGTTAGGTTTTTAAAATATACCTTGAAATCATGCTGAGGTAGAGAATATTCTTCCTTGGTGACTCCTAAAACGGCAGAGGTAAAGCAACAAAGTGTTCATTACTGTCTTTATAGTCATTTCAGCAGTTTGCATATAGTGTGGCCACAAAAATTTTGCTTGATAGGTCTGTTCACATTTTAGGTTCTTTAGTATAACTAGGATGAGTATGTTAGTGACATGTTCTTGTCTACATCATGCTCAATACAAATGGCGCTTGATTGATTTCCTATGCAGATCCAGTGGAAAACATTGTAAACATACACCAATGGCAGGCAGTCTGCAATGAACAAAAATTCACGGCTGGAATGGAATACATGGATGTAAGAGCCTTTTTGAAATTCATAGTGAAGTCTTATGAGAGAATTTTGATTTTTTTCATAGAGGCAAAATTCTATTAAAAAAGACTGCTTCTGGACCTGAAAATTCTTTGCTATGAAATTGTTTTTATGGAATATATTCCATAAAATATATTGAAGGGATATATTAGTAGATGTCCTTTCCCAGTCTCTAACTACTGGTGATGGACTGATCAATTCCTAACTGCTGTAGAAAATTCATAAGTAAATTCATTGAATTAAGTAAGAGAAGGGCAAAGGCAGTGAAATCTCAGCTCCTTTAATTTTAGTTTTGAAACTTCTGATTCCCGTTGCATTGCATTTACCTTTGAGGAAATAGCTTCACTGGGATATATTTCAAAGTATTTGGAGAAACTAAAGTATAACGTATGAAAGAAACTGAAGAATAAATTTCATTTGATTACAGGACAAAAGAAATGCAATGTTTAGCTATATCTTAGCCTAATTCTTACTTTCCTAGTTTACAAAGTAAATAATAGAAATTATTTTACCAGAAATTATTATTATCTAGAGTTACTGTTAGATAAGTAAGGCCAACACATTAGTTCAGGATTATTATTTACAAATCTGTGCTTCTTTGGGTCATATACTCAAACATGAAAATAACTTTGTTATTTAGAGCTCAGTTTCAGTTATTGGTTTCATTAAAAGAATTAATCTGTGTTCTTTTCAAAATCTAATGTTGATGTCACTTGATATAATGCTAAAGAAATGAAAATAGAATATTGATTTTCATCAAAACCTACAAAACCATTACCATTGACTGCTTTGGCTACAAACTAGTTATCTTCATTCCTGAACTCTAAGATGAAGCCACTAATAATGTCCCATACCTGAATGGCAGTGTTCCGTAAGTTGTTATGAATCCCTTGTTATGAATCCCTCATTTCTGTTTTTGACCTCTGACTCCTTTATTGCCTTTATCTGTGCCTTTGAAACACTTAACATTTTCTACTTTAGACAGTATCATACAGTATATATTGAAGGTCCTTTTCATCTTCTCTTCTGTGAGCTCCCTATGGAGCTTCGTGTGTCTTGGTCATTGTAATATTGTTAAGGCCTAACAGTGTCTGGCACACAGTAGGCCCTCAAAAACATTGGTTGTATCAGTGACTGATCTGTTTTTTTTTTTTCTGCTGTTCTTAAAAGCACATTGTAACTATTGTAGACATTTAGTTAATATTTGTTGAATGAATTATGTGATGACCTATAAGCCTATGTGGACAAATGTTCACTCATGGGAAAAGTATTAGACTGGTGGCCTTTAGAGTGCCTGAAAACTCTGAAAGTCCTTGCATTGCTTCATTTATTTTGTCAACAAGCATTCCAGTTCTTATTGTGTTCCAGTTACCTGTGTCCATGACAGTGATTAAAATAAGGTCCTTTCAAGATGCTTACAATTTAGTGGGGTGAACTTTTAGAAAAGTATTGCCACTACCTCAAAGATTTAGTATTGAAAAGAATTTTCGAAGAATGACAGGATTCCATAGTCGTTATTGTCCCCACAATTTTACCTACCTTTGGAGGATTCTTTCACTTGGATTACTGTTTTTACCTTAAAACTGCCCTCAGTAATGGCTGATAATACTCAAACCTTCAAGCTCAAGAATGGATAAGGATAAAAACTTTTGCCTTCAAGTTCATTTTAGCGCAGTTGAGACAACCTGGAACCTTCCTCAATATTATAGGAGAGAACATAAAGAATATAAAAACAATCTGATTTACAAGTAAAGATTTCTGGTGCTATCATGATACAGAGTCTGTTCCAGGAACTCACTCACCTTGCCTGAGTTTATCTTTGCTTTGGTTGTAGCTAGATTCTTTCCCCAAAGGACACACCAAACTTTGATACTTCAGGCTCCTAATTTCCCAGCTTCTTTTTGGACTACCTTTTCTGAGTGAATGCCATTTTAGCATACCTTGGTTAAGAGCTTCCTCTCAGACATCTCTGCTGTTTTGGTCAAGATGTATGACTAGATTTGCAGCGTAGCAGGGGCTCCTTTGTTTAGTGGCAGCCTCTTCAAGTGATGAAAGTTAGGAGGGACCTCTCTCCAGGTGGGACCTGGTACCATCCAGACTTTTATCTTAGTAAGTCCTTTATATGCATATCTTAACAAAGGTCAACAATATTTGTACTTATACAGAGAGTTTCAGTAACTAGGTAGTTTCTACCTAGACAATTATAGGAAATTGTTCCTTACCCAGGAATCAGCTAAGAGTGAAGACAGGTACTTCTGGGGTTACCAAAGAATTTCCTGTGCTTGTGGTGGTTAGAGAAGACCCTTGATCTCTTTTCTACATGGATCTTGCAGGTGAGTAGGAGTTCATGTGAGTGAAAAAGCTAGGGTGGAGGAAAGGGCTTTCTAGGTAGGGGAGAAAGAAAACTCCCATTTATTGAGAAGCACTATAATGTTTAGAACTCAGCTTTAAGTGTCTTCACACTTTGAGGAATCTGGAACTTAGTGTCTTCAGTAGGGTAACAGTGATAGCAAAAATTACTGAAACTCTTAGGTGCAAGAATTTGGGACTCCTTTTCTGGATCAAAAGACCTGTGTGTGGTGGTTGCATATGGGGGAGGAGGATGTAGGAGAGAAAACTTTAGGGGAGGAAGATACTGGGGAAAGGGTGTGGAAAACTGCCTTCTTACCCTCTGACTTTATTCAGGACCAATTTATGCAACATAGCTGTGTTCTCTGTAAGCCCTGGGGGCAGAACCCATGCACTTGGCAAAAGGGGGTCAGATTTTTATCTGAATATAAAGAGATCTGATCCCCAGTTTTGTTCCGTAAAAATTGGATTCCGTCAAAAGGCTGTACTCAAGGATCCAGAAGGCCCCAAAGCCTCAGGTTCCCCACTCCTGGAAGAAGATGTTCACTATATTTTCCTTGTATCAATTAAGCATTGTCTGGTGATCACCTATTTGAATTTGGAATAGACCTGAGGAAGTTGTGAGTTTCCATGAGCAAAGCTATTTAATTCAGGCCAGGGTGACAATACAACATGGGATGGGGGTGGGAATGGGCTGGGACAAGAGAGGAGTTGGATTTTTTTTCTATCTAGAAGCCTTTTTACCAACTTTGCACTACTATGATTCCATGACTACTTGACTATTTCTTGAAAAGATATGTTAAAATTTCATTTCATTTTACAAGTCCTCATAGTATTAGTTCATTTATGATTAGTTCTTTTCAGGAGTCAGACCCGCTACCGTTGCGCCACGAGGTCAGCCATGATTAGTTCTTTTCATTGTGAAAATTTCACTATTTCAGTTCTCTGGTTCAACCATTAGTTTCACTAATAATTATTAGACCTTGGCTCAGTTCAGTTGAGCTCCTGATAGAGTTTTATGTGCTATGTATTTTATAACATTTGCATAAATTTTGTTTTAAGAAGTGCAAATCAAAGTGTTTCTTATAGTGCAAGCAGAGTTCTAAAAGTTGAGGACGTCTTAGAGTGATGAAGTGAGGTCTCTGAAGTCGACAAAATTAGAATCCATCTGAAAATTCATCTAATTTTTGAATATGTGAAATTTCTATTTAATGGCATGAAATTAATACATTTTCAACTGTGCACTTGAGACTTATCACTTGTTAATAACAATTGTTGGTTTCAAGGCCCCAAAAAGGGAATTTATCCTGTGTAATTGTTGAAAATTAGACCTTCACTCTGAATTCAGAACAGGAGGCAGTCTTCATGCCAGGGAATCTGTCTGGAAACAGGCTGCTCTGTGTCTCTAAAGGTCAGAAACAGACTGACTTTTTAAGGAAAGATCACTTTTGGAAAGTTTATTGAAGAAGGCTCACTAGAGGAGGTTTGGCTTCAGTTGACCCCAAAGCTCCTAATGGTTATGAATTTCCTACTTTTATATTGTTAAACCAGATTCTGTCTAGGACATCATAGATCTTAATCAGCGTGCATTAACCTGGATATTGCAATACTATGGAAAATGTTAAGGTGGCAATTCTGACACTCCTAAAATGAGTGATTCTCAGATCATGAAATCTGTGATACCTCAAGTATTACTAAACTTACTTTGAAAAAGGACAAATAAGTAAAAATCATAGGATTTAAGTAGCCCAGAAAAGACTTTAGAGAGATGATATTTTCCAAACAAAATCAAATCAAAACCACAATGAGATATCACTTAACTCCAATGAGAATGACCTTTATCAAAAAGTCCCCAAACAATAAATGCTGGCGTGGATGAAGAGAGAGAGGAACACTCCTACACTGCTGGTGGGACTGCAAACTAGTTCAACCTCTGTGGAAAGCAATATGGAGATATCTTAAAGCGATACAAGTGGATCTACCATTTGATCCAGCAGTCCCATTACTGGGCATCTACCGAAAAGATCCAATGACACTCTACAAAAAAGACACCTGCACTCGAATGTTTATAGCAGCACAATTTCAAGGCTGTGGAAACAGCCCAAGTGCCCATCAACCCAAGAGTGGATTAATAAAATGTGATATATGTATACCATGGAGTACTATTCAGCTCTAAGAAACAATGGTGATATAGCACATCTTGTATTTTCTTGGTTAGAGCTGGAACCCATACTACTAAGTGAAGTATCCCAAGAATGGAAAAACAAGCACCACATATACTCACCAGCAAACTGTTATTAACTGAGCAGCACCTAAGTGGACACATAGGTACTACAGTAATAGGGTATTGGGCAGGTGGGATGGGGGAGGGGAGAGGGGATGTATACATACATAATGAGTGAGATGTGCACCATCTGGGGGATGGTCACGCTGGAAACTCAGACTTGTGGGGAAGAGAGGAAAAAGGGCATTTTTTGAAACCTTAAAATTTGTACCCCCATAATATGCTGGAAAAAATAAAATAAAATAAAATGAGATTAATGATAGTAACTATCCCACATAAGGTTGTTATGAGAACTAAATGAGAAAATATAGAAAAATGCTTAATGCAAAAAATATAACACTTGAGCACTGTC